GTCAAACACTTTGGGGATCATTATACTACAGCAGCACAGACAAGGGAGAGAGTCGTCAGTTGAAGAAGTTATAGAGGTTGGGCTAGAATCTGAATAAAGGGAGAAAGAGGGCATTTCAGGCAGAGAAAATAATCTGATAAGACTCATACAGGAGATAATGCCAACAGGTCTTACAGGCTAGAGAATAAACTTATTTGGTGACCCAAAGGGATAGGGGATATAGCAGCAGAAAGTAAAGCAGAAATTTCACTGGGTTCGTAATATGACAGCTTTACTAAGAAGAGGGTACCTCTATTTAGATTGGCTGACTTTGTTTTTGTTTCTTTCTTATATATAAGATTTAAAAGCCTGAAGGATTTTATTATGGAATAATAATAATTATGGAATAATAAAATCAGAGATACATTTTGAGATAATCTGGTAAAAGAATGTAGAACAGTAGGAGAGAAAATGGCTATAGAAGATTATCCATGGAAAAATTCAGTTAAATACTAGAACAAAGATCATGCAAAAGATGTTACAGATGAATTTGTGAGTGATTATGTGTATTTTTTAAATCTTCTATTTTATTGTTCAGGTGTTCAAAACTGAGTCCAAAGGGAATGCTAGTCATCCATGAAAGTCCTATTGACAGTGTCTTCCCCTTATGTGGTTTAAGACAGTATTATCCCTTTCACCAAAATCATCATCATTTCATATGTTTTGAAGAAAGCAAAGTTTTAAATCATCTGTAAGGTGTATAATTTCAATACACAAAAGTAGATGCTCAAGGAGGGCAAAAAAACTTTTATTTTTCATAACTATATTTAATTTCTATTTAAAGCTATGTTCTACCAGGTATCAGAAACCACATCTCAGTCAAACCAGAGTTTTCCTACCTTTTCCTGAGATTACACCTAATTTCTAGGCAATTTATGTAGTTCCAAGATATCACGGGGAAAATAAATGTAAACTGGACCTTGAGATCATTATCTATCTACATAAGCGTCTGCAAAACATTTTAATTCACATCTGACTTTCAATCTCCCCACACAGTTTATTGCTGTGTTCTTGTCCCAACTATATCCACGCTATATCAAACCTCTGAAAAATACTACATTTTTTATATCTTCTCCCTATACCTCTCCACACTGTCTTCCCTCTGTGCACGTCTGTCTCTGTGTTCAGATCTCCCTTTTTTATAAGGACGTCAGTCAGTATTGCCTTCAGTCTCATCCTATCGACTTCGCTTTAATTTTATCACCACTGTAAAGATCCTATTTCCAAATAAGGTTGCATTCTGAGGTACTGAGGACTAGGACTTACCCATGTCACCTACTCGAAAAAAATATCCTTGTGGGGGGCAAGGGGCAGGGAACATAATTCAACCCACAACGCTAATCCTTGGAAGAAAATGAAAGCAACACAGCCTTCCAAATACCAGCCATTCTCTGCGGCGCCATGATTTTCAGAAGGTACAGACGATTACCATAGGTGGTTTTCATGGCCCTGTCAAAAAAAAAAAAAAAAACAACTAATAGTGAAGTCAGATGGTGTAGGACACAGTAGCAAGCCACGGCAAGCCTTTCAGATTTCTCATGGAGCCAGTGACAGACACAGATATCTTTCGATTTATATATATGAACTCCCAGGCTTGGGAGTTAAAAAAAAAAAAAATTTATTCTCCTGTGGATGTTTCTGTCCTTGTCACCATTGGGGAGCTTCAAAATGTTATACCTTTAAGAGCGGGACTTCGTGGCTGCTCTCTTTGTTGTAAGAAAAACGCATCAACTGCATTTTCCTCTTATTTCACTCTCTTTTTCCATTTTCCCCTTTGGATAATAATGCCTTTAGAGTTCTCCATGTGAGCTGGAAAAAATCTGGTAGAAGACTAGTTGTTGACGGTTTGAATTACAGAATCAAAACACCAGAGTAAAAGGTAAGGTTTTCAATATACCACATGTACAGACTCCTTTGTGAACGAAAGAACTTCCTTATATAACCAAAGGGAATTTTCTGTCTCTGGTCCCTCTTGCCAAAGCAATGAGGTCACACCCGTGTTCATAATTTATTGAGCCACTACAGTGCAAACAGAACTGTGCAGGACAACCTTAAAGAAGGGTCACATATGCTTCCTCTTCTCAAGAATTTCATTTGATTAAAAAATAAGATTTTTTAAATTACGCTTTGGGAGGCTGAGGCAGGTGGATCACTTGAGGTCAGGAGTTTGAGACCAGTCTGGCCAATATGGTTAAACCCCGTCTCTACCAAAAATACAAATTAGTTGGGCATGGTGGCATGTGCCTGTAATCCCAGCTACTTGGGAGGCTGAGGCAGGAGAATCGCTGGAAGCCGGAAGGTGGAGGTTGCAGTGAGCCCAGATTGCACCACTGCCCTCCAGCCTGAACGACAAGAGCGAGACTCCGTCTCAGAAAAAATAAAGAAATAAAATAAAATAAACAAGATTAACACACTTTTAAGCAAGCAACAACCCAAAATATAATATGCCTAACAAAGTAATACAAGCACAAGCATACCAATTTACATTTATATCCAATGGAAATATTTGGATGTTATTAAAAATTTGCATTTAAAAGTCAATCTTATGACATCTTGGCAAAGTTTCATGACAATTGACATTACTAAAATGCCTTTTTTCTTCTGTCATCAGCAATCTGCTCTTCACCTTTTTCCTTTTTTTTTTTAACAGGGTCTCACTCTGATGCCCAGGCTGGAGTGCAGTGGTGCCATTGGCTCACTGCAACCTCCACCACACAGGTTCAAGCCATCCTCCCACCTCAGCCTCCCAAGTAGCTGGGATCACAGGTGCACAGCACTCCTAGCTAATTTTTGGTATTTTGGGTACAGACCAGGCTGGTATCGAACTCCTGAGCTCAAGCGATCCACCTGCCTTAGCCTCCCAAAGTGCTGGGATTATAGGCATGATCCACAGCACCTGGCCACTTTTTTTCTTTTAATCGAGACAGGGTTTTGCTGTTACCCAGGCTGGAGTGCAATGGTGCCCTCATGGCTCACTGCAGCCTTAACCTCCCTGGCTCAAGCGATCCTCCCACCTTAGCCTCCCAAGTAGCTGGGACTACAGGCACATGCCAACACACCAAGCTAATTTTTTCTATTTTTTATAGAGACAGGGTTTTACTATGTTGACTAGGCTGGTCTCCAACTCCTGGGCTCAAGGGATCCTCCCACCTCAGCTTCCCAAGTGTTGGGATTACAGGTGTAAGCCATCATGCCCATCTTGCCCTTCACTTTTTATTCCAAATGTCAACATTTGCTGAAAGTCTACTGTGTAAGCAAGCAATTGCACTGTACGGTTCACTTCCTGAAGCCCTCCTCTGTTACTAAAATTCTGCCTGAAAGGAAGTAGAGAATAGTGGTTAAAGCCTGGAGACCTGGTAATATGGTTTGGCTCTGTATCCCCATCCAAATCTCACCTTGAATTGTAATAATCCCCGCATGTTGTGGGAGGGACCCAGTGGGAGGTAATTGAATCATGGAGATGGTTTCCCCCATGCTGTTCTCATGATAGTGAATGAGTTCTCACAAGATCTGATGGTTTTATACATGTCTGGCATTTCCCCTGCTGGCACTTCGCCTTCTTGCTGCCCTGTGAAGAAGGTGCCTTTCTTCCGCTTTGCCTTCCGTCATGACTGTAAGTTTCGTGAGACCTTCCCAGCCATGCAGAACTGTGAGTCAATTAAACCTCTTTTCTTTATAAATTACCCAGTCTTGGGTATTTCTTTATAGCAGCGTGAGAATGAACTCATACACCTGGGGTCCAAAATCTGAAATTCCCAGATCAAACCTGGTTGAGCAAAAAAATCACCAGCAGAGCTTTATGGAAAATATAGATTTCTGGGTCCCACCCCTACAAACCCTGATTGAGTTTATCTAGAATATGGCCCCGCAAGAAAACAAATCCAATTTTCACAAATCTTCTATATTATAAAATATATTAAGAACCACTGGGCTACCCTAAGGCATTGGTCTCTAAAGTGGGAGGGACACATCTGGGATGGGAGGACCAAGCTAATTGACAGGGGTGTGGGAAGAATGCATTGCAATAAGTACAAATACTTCCATTTGCATTTGTTTTTAGTTTAAATATTGTGAAGGAGATTCAGTTTTACTAATATTTCATATACTCACTGACTGGCCCCCCTCAACGGGACTGTATGCTAGATTATAAGCAAAGTATCCTGAGGCAAGGATTGAGGTTCCAAATGCAGGGCTGTAGGTAGCAGCCAGTCACTCATTCATTCCTTTCTCACTTCTTATAACATCATCCAATGTTAACTAAACCACCCTTTACAAAGTGGACTTGTTTTGAAAGTATTGCTGCAAAGAAATTGAAGCTAGCAGACAGTATTTAAAAGGTAAGCACGGACAGCAATGAGAAAATTAGTTGACTGACCCTGGTGGCTCACACTTATAATCCCAGTGCTTTGGGAGGTCAAGGCAGGAGGATCACTGGAGGCCACGAGTTCAAGGCCGCAGTGAGCTATGATCATGCCACTGCACTCCGGCCTGTCTGAATTTTTTAAAAAGAAAAGAAAATGGAAGGGTTGACCTGCCTCTTACTACTATCTCAAGTTCATCATCAGTCATTTTATGAGGGAAAAGCAAAAATAATCTAATCAGATCTCAAAAAAATGAGTCAAAAGTGTTTCAGATATCAAGAAGACTGTTTGAAATAATCACCATTTAAAAGCATATTTTCTGGGCTGGGTGCATTGACTCACACCCGTAATTCTAACACTTTTGGAGGCCGAAGCAGGAGGATCACTTGAAGCCAGGAGTTTGAGACCAGTCTGGACAACACAGAGAGAACTCATGTCTACAAAAAGGAGGAAAATTCACTGGGCATGGTGGCACATGCCTATAGTCTCACCTACTCAGAAGGCTGAGTCCCAGCTACTCTTGAGCCCTGGAGTTCAAAGCTACAATGAGCTATGATCATGCCACCGCACTCCAGCGTGGGTGACAGAGCAAGACCCTATCTCAAAAAAAAATTAAAAGCATATTTTTATAGACATTTGTTAATATATAGTGTGCGTCTGGACTCGATTTTTTTTCCTAATAGCAGTACCAAATGAAAAAGCTTGGGTAACACTGAATTAAGGAAGAAAAAGTTATTGCTCGTCTGTTTTGCCTCTTGCAAAGGCTGTGATCTCCGTTTCTGTTCAGCTCTTCGTGGGTTCCCTGCCTCTGTGTCCTCCACAGCACAGTAGTAAACAGCAGCATCTGCCTCCCGCACCTGGAGGATGAGCAGCGATGAAGAGAATCGTTCATAGGTCATGTTGTATCGTCCCTGCTGAGAAGGCTTTGAGCCCTTAACAAGGAGTCTTGGTGCACATCCCGGGAAGTGAAGGTACCAGAAGAAGTTGTAAGCATTGGACACAGAGTGATTACAGAAGATTTCCACCATGGCTCCCTCCGAAGATGCCACTGTGGAAGGCTGAAACACTTGGTCCTTGCTTTCTGCAACTAAGAAAACAAAGAGGGCTGTCACTTTAATGGTACTATTTGGTTTGTTGATTGCCCCTTAGGTACAGTGAATATTAGATCTGACTTCTCTGTTTTTCTATTAAAAATGAGTCCAAATTTTAAAACAATGTCCTACACTTTTACAAAACCAAATAGTGAAGGAGCCTACTCACCATTCCAGAGAGAGTTGAGGAGAAGTCCCAGCCACACTGTCCCCAGAGTGCTCTGCAGAGCCATGGCCAAAATGCAGTTGGTCTCACCAGAAAGCTTATTTAAGACTATCTGTTTTGCATTTTTTTTCTTTGTGTCAGTGACATCATCAGCCAGAATCTACAACCTTTAGAAGGGCTGCTACAGTTGTGAGGCTGCATAGTAATGACTTCACTGTGCTTTGTTCTGAGAAATTAATCTTAAAAGGGAAGGCAACCTTTATAAGGTCACTGTGGTTGTGCAAATTTAGTATTCAAGGAGCTTCCTTTCTTCTCTAAGGGTATTAGAAGGAGTCACATAATTAATGGGGCACTGCTCCATTATACAAATTAAAGTGATATATTCACACAAAAAGTATGCTAAATCCCATCACATATGACATGATGACCTGCTAATGTGTTTAAAATAATTAGCATGAAATATTAGTAGCCGCAGTAGATAAGAAATGAATTTTTTTAAGGTACAAAAGTTACTGTGTAAATATGCTGATCAAAATTTGACTCCTTGCATTCAAGGTGATCTTTGGAACAAATATGGGAAAAAAACGTCAGCTGTACTTTTTCTGTAAACAAAAGAAGCAAAAACTGCATTTGGAGATAATCTCTTGGTATGGTACCTATCCTCATTTTGCAACTTGACACTGTTATTGTTATTAATATAGGGCTTACTACAAAGTTCTGTCTCCGGCTTTTATTATACTGTACAAGTTTCCTTGGGATTTTACTTGAAAAAGAAGAGGAAACACAGTTTGCAGCAATTCGGCGTTTATTATACAGTAGGGCTTTTATGTAACCTCCGCCACCTAGTGGACTACATGGGAACTCACGAAAAATAATTTCTCCATGCACCCCCTAAGACAAGTGTTCACAGCTTCTCATATCTTCAAGAGATTTCGTGTCCTTTGCTTTTGTTCAATTTCTTTATCCTTATTCAATTTCCATAGGAATATGAAGGCTATCCAAATGAAATAATTGCCTTTTGTAAAAGCCTTCTGATTACTAAAAGATGTTCTTTATTCAGGTGAGTGGCTATTAAACATATACTTTCATGGAGTAACACACTTCTCTTTGGATGGTTGCTTTATGAATCCCCTTTCCTTTCTTAAATAGTCTTCTAGGTGAGAGGAAATCTGTTTCTTTCCTAATCTTTTCTCTTTTCTTAATGAGAGAGTCCTTAATAATGATAAGATGAGCCAGGAGCAATGGCTCAAGCCTGTAATCCCAGCACTTTGGGAGGCCAAGGTGAGTGGATCACCTGAGGTCAGGAGTTCGAGACCAGCCTGGCCAACATGGTGAAACCCCGTCTCTACTAAAAATATATAAATTATAAATTTTCCCCAGCTACTCGGGAAGCTGAGGCAAGAGAATCACTTGACCCCGGGAGGCAGAGGTTGTAGTGAGCTGAGATCGCACCACTTCACTCCAACCTGGGCAACAGAGCAACACTCCATCTAAAAATAAAAAAACATAATAATGATAAGATGATCATTTAGGTCCAACAGAAACCTTGTATTTATATTTATGACCTCAAAAAGCTTCCAAATAAAATACAGAATTCCAAAATGACTCTAAAATGAGGATAGAAAAAAATCAAAGGGAAGTGGGCACCAATTTATTTAATGGAAGGACTAAGATCACTACTATGATTAATTTGAGCTCTGAAATTTCTGACAACCAAAACACAGAGCGGAACACAAAAGGAATACAATTGTACAAGTAAGCTGATTAAGCCTTCAAGCAGCTTCTTACTGAAGCCAAGTAGTACAGAGCTATAGATAACGTAAAACTCTTTTTAGATACTGGTTATGTACTTTTGGTTCAAAGTAGCTACTGCACAGTATTTCAGCATGCACCACACTTACTTAGGCAATCCCCTAGTGGTGGAATTATAGGCTGCCTGTAACTCCTGCAAACACAGCAATTAACATTTTTTTTACATTTCACCTATTAACTATGTGATAATTTCTCTAGGGTATGTCCCCAGCAAAGATTGTTCAATCATAGTACATACACATGCTCGATTTCACTACGGTAATGATTGAAAGTAGCTACAGCCACTTACACTTCTACCAGCAGTGCATGAGCATTCCAGTCTTTCCATAACCTCAACAACACTTAGTATTATAAAACTGTCTACTTTTACCAATCTACTGAGTATGGAATCTCAAATTGCATTACTCTGATTATTAGTCAAATTGAGCTATTTGTATTTCTCCTTTCCCATGTTATCTATACAAAGGATTTCACACTTTAAAATTAGTCCTCTAGTGTTTCTCAGTAAATCATAAGAGTTTCTCATATATTAATTTTTGGCTGTATCCAAAATCACAAATATCTTTTTCTAATATGGTCCCAGTCTACTAAGTTTGTCTATGGTGTCCTTTTTTTAATGGAAGTCCTTAATTTTGAAGGAATCAACATTATCATTTTTTTTCACTTTATTGAGCTTTAGGGATTTTGATTTAGAAATCATTCTTCACCCCAAAGCCACAAATACATTTTCCCACACTGTGTTTATTATCTTTCTAGATTTGTCTTTTACATTTAGGTTTTAATTCATCTAAAATTTACATCTGTAGAAGACCCGACTACTTTATTTTTCTCCATAGAGCAGGACAGTTTTAATAGCACAATCTACTAAATAATCCAGCATTCCCTACAGATTTGTGGCATCATGATTATCATATTAGAGTTGCCTATGAACTTGATTCACAAAGTTACCTATTGAACTTTCTGAGTTTTATATTCATCTTGTTGTTTGTTTCTGCAATACTACTATACTATTTTTACTGTCTTAGCTTTAGCAAGATCTTCTTCTTGTCAGTCAAATATTCAGGTATAATTTAATAAAATCTACTTAGCTAATTTAAGCAGAAAAGAAAGATATTAAGATATATTAAGTAGATCACACACTATCCAGCAGAGATAGGCAGTGAGAATTCAACGCTATACAGCCAAAAACAATGTTTAAACACAGCACAGGGAAATCTCTAATCAATCAAATCTCACACTGCTCACCTTAACACTACAAATTCACTCAACCAACAACAAGAACACTCAGTACTGAATATACAAAGCCCTTCCATTGCTGCTCGGAAAGTCCGAGGCATAGTCCCTACTGTATTAGCTATTCTTTCATTGCTATAAAGAAATACCTGAGACTGGATAACTTACAAAGAAAAGAGGTTTGACCGGCTCACAGTTCTGCAGGCTTTACAGGAAGTATAGTGTTGGCTTCTGATCAGCTTCTAGGGAGGCCTCAGGAAGCTTACAGTCATGGTAGAAGGCAAAGGAGCAGCAGGCATGTAACATGGTGAAAGAAGGAGCAAATTGGGGGTGGGGGATGCCACACACTTTTAAATGACCAGACCTCACAAGAACTCATTATCACAAAGACAGCACTAAGCCATGAGGGATCTGCCCCCATGATACAAATACATCCCATCAGGCCCCACCTGCAGCACTGGGGATTAAATTTCAACATTTGAGTGGGGACAAATATCCAAACGATATCATCTGATGTATACACTAAAGAATATATCTGCAAACATACTACTGGAGGAAAATAACGAAGAGTAGTGCTGATAGTGGCTATCCCTGTCTTGCTTCTGACCAAAAAGAGAATGCAGCTACAATGTCTGCATTATCGAAGCTTCCTTTGTAGCCTAATACATGCCCAATTTTTTAGAATGTCCATTAGTGCTGGAAAAGAGTGTGTATTTTCTGTACATCCCACAAAGTTCCTTTTGAACATATTTCAATCCACTTCTATCTCCAAAATTCTGTCTCCACAGGGGACTCAAAATCAGTATGAGGAGACAAGTGGAGAACAGATGGTATGCCTTCCTGCTCCAATATTTTCTCATCTCTTCACCTTAACCTTTTTACTCATCCAAATTTTCTCTCCTCTCTCCAAGTTACAAAAATAATAGGTCTCATCTATGAAAAGAGAAAAATTAATTCAGGTGGAGAGAGACAAAGAAATAAATAAGAAGGATGGAGATCTTGGTAGTTTCACAAGCAGCAGCCACCCAAAATGTCATTGTATAGCTTGAAAAGACATTTTGAAATGATCTATATCCAACATACCTGGGACTTAAATACAATATTTATAACAAGATATAATTCTAATTCATTTGAATTCCTCCAAAATTCTAAGAGAACTTCACTGGTTTAGGACAGTGATTAGAGAAGAAAATAACACCAAGTAGGATTCAAAGAAGAAAGAATAGGCTTAATATTACATGGAGAGGTATCTGGGGATAGTGTAGGAGATAAATAAAGTAAAAAGTGGTAAAACCCCCAAGATGGCAAAACGTAACATACAACAAAAATGGGACTTTATCTGGTCAGTTATTCAAATAGACTCCAATAAAGTCTATTGAAAAATCATTACTTGCTGTAATTGGATTTTGTGGGAAATGATGAAGAGACTGTGCTCTGTGAAGAAAATTGATTGAGGCCTGACAGAATAGCATGAGTGAGGTCAGTGAGAATAGCAGCATAACAATAAAAAACCAAAGGCAATGACAACACCAAAAAAAATTGTCAAAATAACTTATTCTGGCCAAGCACAATGACTCATGCCTATAAACTCTGCATTTTGGGAGGCTGAGGCAGGCAGATCACTTGAGGTCAGGAATTCAGGACCAGCCTCGCAACATGGTGAAACCCTGTCTCTACTAAAAATACAAAATTTAGCTGGGCATGGTGGCACACGCCTGTAATTTCAGCTACTCGGGAGGCTGAGGCATAAGAATCACCTGAACCCAGGAGACATAGTTTGCAGTGAGCCAAGATCGTGCCACTGCACTCCAGCCTGGGTGACAGAGTGAGACTCTATCTCAAAAATAAATAAATAAATAAATAACTTTTTCTGAACTCTGGAAATTAACAAAAGACTTGCAGTAATTCAAGAAGCATTTACTCAAGAAAACTGGCTGTATCTAGATAAGAACAGTGAGCAGCAACTTTGTGGTGTTTAAATTTGCCCTGTTCTCTTCTTCCTCTCCCCAGCTCTCCAATAGCCTTGAAAACCAATAGCACTGCCACGATGGTGAGAAACAGCAGCCTTGAAGCTACTAGAGAGGGCGAAGCTGGTTTGGAGCTCCTCAAAAACATAGTTCTCAGA